CTATCGGGGTTGGGTTTTCGTCGCTTGGCAACGACGTCGTAAAACAAGCCGCCGCCCCCCCCCGGCATGCAAAACATAAGAGTACGCCCCCCCCCCCTCGCCTTTTGTTTGCCGTTTCAGAGGGGGACGTCTGTAAGGTGCGCTACTGCGCCAAGTTTAAGAGCGAGGTCAAGATTGACAACGCTCTGGTTAAGAAGGAATGGGTGCCGTTTCCCGTGGGCGGCCGCCTCGAGTTCCTCGAGAACCCGGTGGAGGTGAGACAGATCACTGGGAATGGGTCAAGTTTATTTCGGAACAGTTTATTTGCGACGGCGTCAGGTCTGGACGGAACGACTGCCCGTTTGGATGGGGTAGTGTAGGCGTGGTTTTCGTGATGATGCACGATGCATGTCACCCACCAGTCTTTGCATCATAAACCTCAGGGGGACGATTTTGGAAGTCTTAAATCTTCATCTTGTTGTGAAGGAGTTCATGCAATTGTGGCTGAAACGGTATCTCACGGAAAATGAAAAATCACAGAAAAAACTCGAATTTTTTTTTGATGGGTTGAATTTTCACACTTTGTGGGGGTGGTCTGGTACATATCCTAGTGGCTCGTTCGTCCTTTGTGGTGCTTGCGGCTGCTGTGTATGGTTACTATTTGGTATTTGCGCTTCTCTTTAGCCGCCTTGTGTAGAGCAGATGAAAGAGGCTTTTGAGGGTTTTGGCAGCTGCTGGTTTCCCTTCCAGACTATGTATCTCCCGCTTGTTGCTTGTGATCTCTGAAAGGGGGAGCCACCCCTTGCCCAAGTCTTGTGTTTCCCCCAACGTGTGCGTCATCGATCGATGGTCACGATACGTAGACAAGCGTCGACACTCCGGCGCCACCTATGGCTACCGCCTTACATTGCTGTTTATTTTGTCTCAACACGATGCCACGTCAGGCGTTCCCATATCGGCTGGAGCGGTATTCCACGGCATCCTCGGCCACCGCTGCTGCGGAGGCCAGCGGCAACACCGCGGCCGTTGCGTGCGACCAGCACCAGGAGATAACCACGCGGCTAGCCTGTCCCATGTGCTACGTGAGTCAGTCTTGGCTGTTTCCTTGAAGAGCTCGGCCACTCAACAATGGCTTAGCTAGTGGTTCAGTTGGGTAACCGCTCAAGTGAAAATAGTTCGCAAGTTTTGTAGAAGTGCAAAGCACATCGTCATGAAAACACACAACATCGAGGGGGGCTGTTGAACCTTTCGCGCGGTAAGAATTGTACCCAAGCACCGAGAAACAGGTGCTGTGTGATCCCCGCTTGTGTTAAGTTTGGGAGGGTCGGCGCACGTAGTGGGTCAGAGTGCTAGCGTAACGCGATTTGTACTTGAAGCATCATCCCTGACCGTCTTTTGCATCCGCTACCACAGTTGCCCATCTGTTTCTGCAAGACTAAAGTAAATACTCCTGGCGCTCTGTTGCTGCTATTGCCTGCTGCTTTTTCTGACACCTCTTTCTTCCGTACCGTCTGCGTGCTGCACTCTTGTCTCCTCGCGGGATGAACAACAACTGACGAATATTGTGCAGGACCTGTTCGTCGATCCCATCGAGCTTGACTGCAAAGGCAAGCACCTGTACTGCCACAGTTGCATCTACGACCTCGTGAAGAACGAATCGTGCCAAAACAAGTGCCCCACTTGTATGACCAGCATCTCCTCCTCAACGCGAAAAAAAATCCTGCAAGCTGGGTGAGTATGCTGTAGCATGTGTAGCCAGGAAGCTGCTCGTCTTGTTTGCCGCGCCTGGGTTTATCAAGAAGTGTTGAATCGCCGGCATTACGAAAAGCTCTGGGTACACTCTGCTTCTGGGCGTGTCTCGCCCCCGTCCTCTCTCCCTCCAAGCGTAATTGCGAAACGGATGGAGGCCTGCTCGCTGCCCAATTGAGCCTGAAATGGTGCTGTCGGTTGGCACAAGGCGAGGGCCGTGTAGTGGGATGTATCGAGTTCGCTTACGCACCCATGAGTGTTTCATTTTTCCTAGTCTGATGTGTGGAGACCACCTTCCCAAAGGTCTGTCGAGGACGGTTCCTTCTTTGTACAATGGCGTCGACGAAGAGATCTCCGAGTGTTTCTCAGGACGCGAGATTCCGTTGCCCTAGCTAGACCATCCCGACGAAGCTCAACCGAATATTGAGTCCCATGTACGTCGTTGACAAAGTGGTAAAAGCCACATTCGTGGTAGGGAAACCGAAAACCCCGTACAACTACAAGTCGGTTTCGTTTGCTTCTTCGAGGATACGACCCTGAGTCCAACCTTG